TATTTGCTCGGGCCTTTCTTTCTACCTCAAAGGCTTGATGCAGTAGAATATTTAAACTTCCTAGAAAACCATCTCCCTGAGTTAATGGAAAATGTTCCTTTAAATTTGAGACAATACATGTGGTACCTCCATGACGGGGCACCTGCGCATTTCAGTGTTCATGTTAGAGAGTATCTACATATGCGGTTTCCTAATCGATGGATTGGAAGAGGATATAATGCACCAATAGCCTGGCCACCGCGATCACCGGACTTGAATCCTGTCGATTTTTATCTTTGGGGACACGCGAAATCTCAAGTTTATGCAACCCCTGTTGATACAGAAGATCAACTTAGACTGCGAATTGTAGAAACCTTTAATTTAATAAGAAATAGTCTATTCATATTCCAAAGAGTCAGATTTAACTTTATAAAGAGACTGACAGCATGTATCGATGCAGAAGGAGGTCAATTTCAACATTTATTATAATAACATATTTTGTTTTAGTTCTGTTTTGGTTACTTAATTAAAAAAATTATTTTGGAAATTGATTGTATTCTTAAAAATTCACTAGGCTTAAGAAATGTATGTAAATAATTCGGAAGCACTCATCTCTCTGCATTTTGTAAATTTACTAGAAAACTAAACATTTTACATAAAAAACACAAGAGACAAAAAAATTTCTAAATTTAATGGTCTTTCTAAAAATCTTATGATACTTGCTGTACCTTTGCAGAAAAATTTTTTTTAGCAAAAAATAGGATACAGGGTGATAAAAAACACCCTTCTGCTTTTTCGATTTTATTCATATCCGCATTATTTATTGATTTCCTAAAGCTGATTAGCCCCTGAAAATTTCATTAAGTTTTCTTTTTCCAACAAAGAGTTACGTCATAAAAACTACTTTTATAGTTGCACCTTTGAAGGTCTGTAACTTCAAAATGGTGCGTTTAAGAGGTTATGTTTATTAGAGTTTTTAGTCATATTTTTTAATGTACTATCACCACTCAAAGTTTGTAACATACTTTACGGGACACCCTGTATAAATACCGACCAGATGACTTAATCTTCAGTTTCAAAGTTTCTTCTGAAGAGAAATATATGTTTCTCGAACCGTCATGAACCTTTAACCGACAAAGTGGCAGACAACCCGGAAATTAGTCAATCAGAATTTTAATCACTTTCAGTGAAACTCATTTTGACAAATGTGATAAATTTTGGAAAGTTTTCTTAAGAATTTACGTATTGCAAAAAATTATGAACATTCTCTGCGTGACATTTTGTTTTGAAATAACACCGTGATTTAATTCTTTTATATTATTTTAATTTTTTTTTACATACAGATTTTAAATGTATTATAAAAACTATGTAGGCCTTGGAAACAAACATTTGACTGTTGAAAGAGTTGAACGGGTTATATCCATTTCGTTTGAAGAAATTAGTCGACCAAGTATGTATGTACCTATTTAAAAAAAGATCAGCCATTTGAGAGGTTGGCTAGAATAACAATTCCTATATAATTAAAATTCATCGAGTTGATTATACAAGTTTTAATATGCACTATGAAGTAATAAGCAGAACGTCA